TGTGTGTGTGTGGGAAGGTGTGTAAGTGTTAGTCGTGTGGGGATGCCCCCTCACGGGGGCGTACGTGTCTTTTGGTGTATTTGTCTGTCTGGTATATTGTTTGTCGGGGGTCGCAATTTTAAAGAAATGTATTCTAAAGTAATGCAAATAACTGATAAATAAGTAAAAACTTACCTGGACATAACCCTGGCACAGGTGCCTGTAACAAAGATGCCGACGGCGTCTATGCTTAAGTCGGGGATTAGGTCGGTGATTAAAAGGAAAGAGATTCTTTCCAGGTAGCCTTAATAAAGGCAGGTAGATCTTGCTCGTTGCAATGCACTTCACCTCACAAACAAACACGTCTGTTCAGCTCGGCTGTTCGCTCTGAACTGTCTTAGTAAGACAGTATTACTACTCGTTGCCGTTACTCGCCTGAACGAACGCCAAAACCGTATTTTCCGCTGGAAGGCGGGGCATAAACGCTGCGTGGTGCAATCGACGCTATCCGTTCCCGCCAAGACAGTTGGGGAGCTGTATTAAGATGTGCCAGTACTTTGCTGTACATATACAGATTTATTTTATAGTAGCATATTCAGTCTAATCGCCTGATTAGTTAATCAAGTCTTAACCGAGACTCAAAGTACCGGGCCCTAATGTGCAAGAAAGAATCGTAGTAAATATTATTAATAGAGTATGTTTATCTTAGAAATTTTTTTCAGATTGTTTTACTGTAAAAGACGCCCGTGAATTTTGTTTTGGCATAAAGCTAAACAAAAATTTAATGAAAATTTCTAATTTATCAGTAAAAATCCTTACAACCACGTATTTATACAAATATATTGTACATATCTTTAAAAATCACTTGCATTTAATAAATATATTTAAATTCTGCGCTCTACTCTGCATGTGTTTTACAATAATTTACCATCAATTCTACAAGTAATGTAGCCTCAAAATAATAAAAGAACTTTTTTCCAGTAAACCATAAGTTCGTATTGAAAATGTTTCTTACTTTTGGACTGACAAAATTCAAAAAAAAAATACTTAAAATCCTGTATCTTCAAAATAAAAGACGATACACAGCTCATAGGAAATATTTCTTGTTAATCTATTATTTCTAGGGTTCGAGGTACGTTACTCTCAAATAGCCCAGAGTAGCAAATTCAAAATTGCTCTCCTCATGCACCTCTTTTTTTTTCCGCATTAGATTACACTCGATAAAGATGTACGAACAGAAGTGTTAAATGGTCAAACTTTGATACTACCAAAAGATATATCCTAATTAAAAAAAAAATAAGAACATAATTACTGACAATTATCTGTTTGCAAGATATCCAAGAGGCAATGAAAATACAGAAATACATTAATTAATGACATCATATTCCTCAAAAGGATTCTTTGTAACTTTAGAAACTGTATAGTTCACCTAAACTCCACTTTGGTAGCAAGAAATAAAGCATCAAAAGCCTTTGGAAGCTATAAAACGTAATAGGTATGGGGTTTTAATTGAAAACATTCTAGGTGTAAATTTTTTAAATCCTGAAATGGCCCAAGAATTAAAATTGAAATTGACGTTTTAAATGTATTTGCGAAAGACATTTCTAACATTCTCTAGAGCTGGCATATGTTTCTTTTGAAATTATCCCTTAGCTGAAGCCTCGCCTGCTACGATAATTTTTCTGTATACGTCTAATGTCCAAATATGAAAGAAAAAACGTCATATTACATTGATACCTAGTGATGGAGGCATTTATTTATCATTACCAAATGCAAATGCAATGTCCCTTGCAAGAAAGGAGAATGTATTATTTTTTACGTAGACCGGATTTTGAAAAAAAAAATGGTAGTGAAATAGTAAAAAATTTACAATAAATGTTCAATGCAATAACAGAAATTTGTCTAAAAACAGTTTATAATAAAATTATATAGCAAATAATTTTACAAAATTTATTTAAGTTTTACATATTAAACCGCAATGAGATTGGATCAAAATCTAAATATTTAATTAATCTCATTGAAGAGGTGCGAAACTGAAACATAGTAACGTGTTCAACGTGAATTTTTAAACCAACAATTATTTTAGCTTTCGTCACTTCTTGCTTAGAATTTTTTATACCTGCAGGCAGACTCCAAGTCTATGTGAAATTAAGACCGTAAGGTGTATGTTACTAAACACTTTATTGTAATACAACCTTCGGATTCAGATTGCAATAAAGTCTGCAAAACTGGTTTCCTTAGTTTTTGAAAAGAAACTTCTGTTCTATGACAAGATGGAACTGGTAGATGTTTTCCGATTTCTGTCAGAAATTTTCACTGAATAAATGCTCGAATAAATGTTTTTAAGTGATGATCTCATAAGGGTAGGTTTTTTGTATTACTATACAAATTCTTGTAGTCAGAATGGCTTGGAATTCCTAAATATTTATATTTTCTACATTCTCTTTCGCATTCCAGTTCTGTGTAAATACTTCTAAAATACTAAATTCAGAAATTGTATAGTCACATCCGAGGTGGTAATTCCGGCTGCTATTGGAAGGCTTAATGGAGGAATCACAATATTTTTTTTAGTTTTAAAGTATTCATAAATTGCTTTCTTTTGCTGCGATTTGAAACTTCATTACTCGTGCATGGAAGAATACACTGAATTGATTTCGAGCGAACAAAAGGTTTCAAATTAACTTGAACGTATTTGTTTCCTTGTACAGTGCTTGTCTCAGGAGCTGTTTCATTGTCAGTTCTTTCGAGACTTTGTGTATCTATCATTACACAGGAATCTCTTACATCATCACTGTTATTTTTTCTTTTCAAAAATAGTTGTCTTGGTTTCGACTTGTGTGATGATTTTCTATCTTCCTGACATTTGAAAATGTGCGGAATAACCCCTGATTTTAATTGTATTTTTCCACGTCTCATTGTCTTATAATACATATAATTCTCCATATCCTCTTCTACCTACAATTTCTTATTAATGTGTAATTTTTACTGCCGCCAAATTAAATTAGACTTACGTTAAAGTGATCTTCACAGCAAAACTTTGTCCCTTTATTGCTAACAAATTTTTCTCTGCGCATTGACTGCTGCCACAACTTTCTAACATTTTCGTCACTTGGTAACGAAATAAATATTTTATTGGGGGTAGATACCGAGGTATTCTTACATCCGGGAACTATACAATATTTATAATATTTCTTTTTTGTATCCATATCAATAAATACACACAAATTGCATAACAGATAGCAACAACAGAGACCGAGAACCTAACGGTTGGGTGTTCCGCTAGCAGCAACGAGTGCTATGACGTCACAACTTAACCACATAACACATAACTTAACATTCGTTCATGTTCATACACATACGCGAAAACTAGTTACTTTTAAATCTCTTGTGTTACTTACCTTGCTATGCCATGCCACAGGCCAAGGTCAAGAATTAGATATCTTGGATTTCTTATTTTCTTGGAATCTTGGGCCACATGTCACAGTAAACAAAATTAAACAACATAACCTAAACTGCTAAACTCACAAAATATTTTTGTGATTACATGCGCAGGATATTCTGCAACGATGAATGTGATAAATAACAGTGATTATCATTCTGATATTTATTGTCAATAGCGTAGAAGATTGTTAATCACTTGGTATTTTATAAGGAAAACAAAAAGGAGTCAGCAAAGATCTTGTGCTGTGAGAGCCTTAATTTAAAAAAAGATAGACCAAAGGCCTATTTTTTTAAAGTACTTTTCACTTATTTTCATTTCACAAATATAGAAAAGCGAAGAATATAATTCTTTTTTATAAAAAAATTTACTTTACATCAATGTTTTAAGAAACTTCAGCTACTATTCATTTTCACTGTGCAGATTACCAATTGTTTTTTGTATATTAATTTTAAAAACAGAAAATAGAAAAGTGAAAAGTAAAGGAGTGAAAAGTTGAAAAGTAGGTACTTGCAAAAACAGGCCCCAGGGCGCCTATCATAATTTGGTAATGGAAATGAGATTACATGACATTAATAAGTATTTTAATTACTTGCGAATGACGGAACTGGACGGACTGCACATGCGTAGTTAGTCAAAATTATTGGGATAATCGCCAAAAATAGAAACCGTTTCTATTTTCCCGCGTCCTGTATTTAAATTAAACGATTCTCGCAATATATTGAAATGAAGAAATTGATGTCAAAACTATTTTATTTCAACCAATCAAATTGAAACCCGCAAATCGCTACTGCATGAACAACCTTTGCTCTTTTATCTATGGCCTTGTCTTGTCCTTAGGTGCGTTTTGTTGGATCAATCCCGGATTTATTGGATTCTTTAGACTGACATTTATCAATAAAACGATTAGAATCGCCATTATTCCATGGCTAGAAATTGGCCCCAATGATTTGGGATCGAGGGGGATTATCCCTCTTTATCCTGCCTCATCTCTGTGTAAACCCCGGGGGTAGTGTCATGTGTGGTATGGTTGGGTAGGGTAGTGCGGCTATGCAGCCTGGGATGCGCTTTGCTAAGGTGGCCCTTAGCCCAGCGCGGGAGAGGACGGGTAAGGAGGGTATGGGGGGTGTGTATGTGTG